GGCCTGATCGCGTCGTTGAGATCGCACATTGTCGGTCCCATCCTGGGCGATGCTGACGTCAGCATCTCGCAACGTGAGCCCGTTCAGTGTGCTGTCCGTCACGATTTCCGTCCAGACTCGTTTCTTTCTGATTCGTCCGACAGCACCCCGCCTTTTGCATCCGGATCGTCGACTGATCCTTCGGTCAGGGGCATCCCTGATCCAAGATCCAAAGATATATCTACGGTTCAGATTCTTCCGGATTCGCGAAATCTGACGCACAAGTCTTTCCGCGTTCATCCACCCTTCAGGGTCTTCGATAGCCACCCTTCGTTACAGTCTCCTCCCACACAGTACGTGTCCAACCATACACATTGGAGACAAGAGGACGAAGCGAGAGGAGGAATAGAACACCATGCTTCCATCAATGCAGCTACACCTACTAGACCAACGCAATCACCTAGACTAGGCTCGTTTGCCACTCTTCCGCAGTACCAAACGGTTAGAACAGAAGTTTGCACGGTGCAAGGGCTTTCCCCTGGCCTTCCAAGACTCGCCAGCAGCGCCACTGAAAGCAGCAACAGTGATGGCCGCGGAGAAGGCAACCACTGCAATGACAGCAATGCCAGCAGCACAAGCAGTAGTAGCAGCAGCATCAGCACCAACACCAGCGTCACCAGCAGCAGCGACAACAGCAGCAGCGGCGGCGGCGGCGGCGGCGGCGGTGGCGGTGGTGGTGGGAGCACATCGTGGGTGGAGCGGTATCTACCGGCGTCAGTGCAGCCGTTCGCCCACCTCGCCCGCCTGGACAAGCCCACCGGCACCTGGCTCCTCGCCTGGCCCTGCTTCTGGTGAGCTCACCTTATCCACCCTCCCCTCCCCTCCTCCTCCCCTCCTCCTCCCCTCCTCCTCCCCTCCTCCTCCCCTTCCTCTGCAGCTCATTTGCGCTGGCCGCTCAGCAGTCTCTTTACCCAACCCAGTAATTCTCTTTCTCTTCGGTGCAGGTGCCGCCTTGCCTTACTCAGAGGGGCTGTCTGCATGCACAGTCAACGGCCTGTTTCTCTGATAGTCACATGCCGACAAGTTCCAATGCTCTTGCTTCTCCTGCCCCACCCCCCACCCATCTCTCCTCCCTCACAAGCTCTACCCACCCGTCCTGCTCCCCCAACTCCTCCTCCCCCACAGACCCATCGCACTGGCCGCTCCAGCAGGCTCTCTACCCGACCCAACCCTTTTCTTTCTCTTCGGGTCAGGCGCCGTCTTGCTCAGAGGAGCTGGCTGTACCATCAACAACCTGCTGGATCCGCCCATCCTCCCCCTCCCCCGCTCCCTTGACAATTTCTGTCTATGCACTCCCCCTTTTCCCCCTTCCCCCACTCCAGGTCGATCGCACTGGCTGCTCCAGCAAGTTCTCTGCCCGACCCAACCCTTCTCTTTCTCTTCGGATCAGGTGCCGTCTTGCTCCGAGGAGCCGGCTGCACCATCAACGACCTGTTGGATCGGGACTTTGATGCCAAGGTGGCTCGCACGCGCTCCCGCCCTCTGCCCTCCGGTGCTGTTACTCCCTTGGGAGCAACAGCTTTTCTTGGATTGCAGCTTCTTCTGGGCCTGGGGATATTGGTGCAGCTGAACACGTACAGGTGAGCCAGAAGCCAAGGTGGCCCGCTCGCGCTCCCGCCCTCTGCCCTCCGGTGCGGTCACTCCCTTGGGAGCAACAGCTTTTCTTGGGTTGCAGTTGCTGCTGGGCCTGGGGATACTTGTGCAGCTCAACACGTACAGGTGAGCCAGAAGCCAAGGTGGCTCGCTCGCGCTCCCGCCCTCTGCCCTCCGGTGCGGTCACTCCCTTGGGAGCAACAGCTTTTCTTGGGTTGCAGTTGCTGCTGGCGCTGGGGATATTGGTGCAGTTGAATCCGTACGAGTGAGTGAGGAGGTCATGGTGGCGTTTTATCGGCATTCATTGAGGAGTTCAGTCACTTTGGCATTAGGCGTCAACGCTGGTCTCAGAGTTACGGACCCTGCTGAACCAAAGCTCTGCACCCAATGAGAAAAAGAGAGATCCATGGCTCTCTGTGCCTCGTGCCCATCCACTCCCTCCCTCCATCGCCCTCACATGTGTCCCGTGCCTTCCATCTTCATGCAGCCAAGTGCTGGGCGCTGCCTCTCTGCCCCTCGTCTTCTCCTACCCCCTCATGAAGCGCTTCACTCACTGGGTAAGCACTGCTTGCACTCCTTGAGTTTGATTTTTGAGTCGACTCGAAAAGTCTCCTACCCCCTCATCCTCATGAAGCGCTTCACTCACTGGGTAAGGATCCCTTGCAGCAGCTCAGCGTCCTTCGAATCACATTGGAAACCTTTGTGCATGCCAATCCCAGAATGGTGAAATCTTATGTGTCAAACCCTAAGAAGCCTGTCATCCCCTCCTCTCTGTTCCTCCCACATTCAGCCTCAGGCGTATCTCGGTCTTGTCTTCAACTGGGGAGCTCTCCTGGGCTGGGCGGCAGTGCACAGCATTGGGTTTTAGGATTTATCATATGTAAACCCCGTCATTCTACCCTCTCCGTTCCCCTTACATTCAGCCTCAGGCGTATCTCGGTCTTGTCTTCAACTGGGGAGCTCTCTTGGGTTGGATGTCAGTGCACAGCATTGGTTATTTGGATGTATCATATGTAAACCCTGTCATTCAATCCTCTCTTTTCTCCCCGCATTCAGCCTCAGGCGTATCTCGGTCTTGTCTTCAACTGGGGAGCTCTCCTGGGCTGGGCGGCAGTGCACAGCATTGGGTTTTAGGATTTATCATATGTAAACCCCGTCATTCTACCCTCTCCGTTCCCCTTACATTCAGCCTCAGGCGTATCTCGGTCTTGTCTTCAACTGGGGAGCTCTCTTGGGTTGGATGTCAGTGCACAGCATTGGTTATTTGGATGTATCATATGTAAACCCTGTCGTTCAATCCTCTCTTTTCTCCCCGCATTCAGCCTCAGGCGTATCTCGGTCTTGTCTTCAACTGGGGAGCTCTCCTGGGCTGGGCGGCAGTGCACAGCATTGGGTTTTAGGATTTATCATATGTAAACCCCGTCATTCTACCCTCTCCGTTCCCCTTACATTCAGCCTCAGGCGTATCTCGGTCTTGTCTTCAACTGGGGAGCTCTCTTGGGTTGGATGTCAGTGCACAGCATTGGTTATTTGGATGTATCATATGTAAACCCTGTCATTCAATCCTCTCTTTTCTCCCCACATTCAGCCTCAGGCCTATCTCGGTCTTGTCTTCAACTGGGGAGCTCTCCTGGGCTGGGCGGCAGTGCACAGCATTGGGTTTTAGGATTTATCATATGTAAACCCCGTCATTCTACCCTCTCCGTTCCCCTTACATTCAGCCTCAGGCGTATCTCGGTCTTGTCTTCAACTGGGGAGCTCTCTTGGGTTGGATGTCAGTGCACAGCATTGGTTATTTGGATGTATCATATGTAAACCCTGTCATTCAATCCTCTCTTTTCTCCCCGCATTCAGCCTCAGGCGTATCTCGGTCTTGTCTTCAACTGGGGAGCTCTCCTGGGCTGGGCGGCAGTGCACAGCATTGGGTTTTAGGATTTATCATATGTAAACCCCGTCATTCTACCCTCTCCGTTCCCCTTACATTCAGCCTCAGGCGTATCTCGGTCTTGTCTTCAACTGGGGAGCTCTCTTGGGTTGGATGTCAGTGCACAGCATTGGTTATTTGGATGTATCATATGTAAACCCTGTCGTTCAATCCTCTCTTTTCTCCCCGCATTCAGCCTCAGGCGTATCTCGGTCTTGTCTTCAACTGGGGAGCTCTCCTGGGCTGGGCGGCAGTGCACAGCATTGGGTTTTAGGATTTATCATATGTAAACCCCGTCATTCTACCCTCTCCGTTCCCCTTACATTCAGCCTCAGGCGTATCTCGGTCTTGTCTTCAACTGGGGAGCTCTCTTGGGTTGGATGTCAGTGCACAGCATTGGTTATTTGGATGTATCATATGTAAACCCTGTCATTCAATCCTCTCTTTTCTCCCCACATTCAGCCTCAGGCCTATCTCGGTCTTGTCTTCAACTGGGGAGCTCTCCTGGGCTGGGCGGCAGTGCACAGCATTGGGTTTTAGGATTTATCATATGTAAACCCCGTCATTCTACCCTCTCCGTTCCCCTTACATTCAGCCTCAGGCGTATCTCGGTCTTGTCTTCAACTGGGGAGCTCTCTTGGGTTGGATGTCAGTGCACAGCATTGGTTATTTGGATGTATCATATGTAAACCCTGTCATTCAATCCTCTCTTTTCTCCCCGCATTCAGCCTCAGGCGTATCTCGGTCTTGTCTTCAACTGGGGAGCTCTCCTGGGCTGGGCGGCAGTGCACAGCATTGGGTTTTAGGATTTATCATATGTAAACCCCGTCATTCTACCCTCTCCGTTCCCCTTACATTCAGCCTCAGGCGTATCTCGGTCTTGTCTTCAACTGGGGAGCTCTCTTGGGTTGGATGTCAGTGCACAGCATTGGTTATTTGGATGTATCATATGTAAACCCTGTCGTTCAATCCTCTCTTTTCTCCCCGCATTCAGCCTCAGGCGTATCTCGGTCTTGTCTTCAACTGGGGAGCTCTCCTGGGCTGGGCGGCAGTGCACAGCATTGGGTTTTAGGATTTATCATATGTAAACCCCGTCATTCTACCCTCTCCGTTCCCCTTACATTCAGCCTCAGGCGTATCTCGGTCTTGTCTTCAACTGGGGAGCTCTCTTGGGTTGGATGTCAGTGCACAGCATTGGTTATTTGGATGTATCATATGTAAACCCTGTCATTCAATCCTCTCTTTTCTCCCCACATTCAGCCTCAGGCCTATCTCGGTCTTGTCTTCAACTGGGGAGCTCTCCTGGGCTGGGCGGCAGTGCACAGCATTGGGTTTTAGGATTTATCATATGTAAACCCCGTCATTCTACCCTCTCCGTTCCCCTTACATTCAGCCTCAGGCGTATCTCGGTCTTGTCTTCAACTGGGGAGCTCTCTTGGGTTGGATGTCAGTGCACAGCATTGGTTATTTGGATGTATCATATGTAAACCCTGTCATTCAATCCTCTCTTTTCTCCCCACATTCAGCCTCAGGCGTATCTCGGTCTTGTCTTCAACTGGGGAGCTCTCCTGGGCTGGGCGGCAGTGCATGGCTCGCTGCACCTGCCAGCTGTTCTACCGCTCTACATGGGTGGCATCTGTTGGACGCTAGTGTACGACACAATCTATGCGCACCAGGTAAGGACAATGCTGTTGACCTCACAGCAGGAGTGAAGTCCACACAGCACTGCTCTTTGGCCATCGCACTCGCCTCTGTTCCCCCATCAGCTGGTGAAGGGCATTTCCCTTGTCCTCCAGCCGACCTATGTGCTCCACCTATCCCATCCACTCCATGCGTCCTCTCGCCAGGACAAGGCGGATGACATCACAGCGGGAGTCAAGTCCACAGCGCTGCTCTTCGCCCATCGCATGCCCCTCTACCTCTCCCTCAGCTGGTGCAGGGAATGCCCTTTGTGCTTCAACCCACCTGAATGCTCCATGTATCCCGTTCACTCCATGCATCCTCTCGCCAGGACAAGGCTGACGACATCACAGCAGGCGTGAAGTCAACAGCGCTGCTCTTCGGCCATCGCACGCCACTCTACCTCTCCCTCTTCAGCGCAGCAGCCATCACCAGCCTCGCTGCTGCCGGCTCAGCTGTCAACCTTGGTACCCACCCACCCACTCACTCACTCACTCACTCACTCACTCACTCACTCACTCACTCACTCACTCACTCACTCACTCACTGCTCTTGATAGTACTGATCCTCATGGGATCACTGGTGGGCCTTGACTGTTAAAATCACTGCTGGAATGGTCCGCTGCTTGGAATATTTCGATCGCTGCGACCCATTCCTAATGGGATTTTAGGTGTCTCGGAATGAGCTTTGAGACAGAGGCGCCGTTCTCGACCGATTCCGTGGCTGCTGTTGGCGCTTCTCAGCATGCTCCTTCTCTCTGGATTGCCGCTTTCGTCCAGAACCCGATCCTTTCTGTACCAACTGCCCTTGATAATGCCTTGATGAAGCCTTTCCTTGCAACCCGTCTACAGTCTACCTCTGTTGCGGCCTTCCCTTTGCTCTCCGTTGGAATGGGCTGGCATCGCTCTTACATCGCCTTCCCGCTTGTCCCACATCGTGGCGTTCCTTCGTGCTGTCGTGTTGCAGGCCCCCCTTTCTATGCCTCGCTAGCAGCGGCAGGAGCACACATGGCATGGCAGATTGCCACCACGGAATATGATAGCCGGGAAGATTGCTACTCCAAGTGAGTCGTCTCCGCCTCTGAGTCAACCTAGCGGGTTTTTTTAAGCACCCCATTAACTGTTTTAGGCGCCTAACAAATAGGTTTGCTACTCCAAGTGAGCCTTCAGCATTTTTAAGTCAACGCCACACACAGGTGTGCCGGCTTGTCCATCTTTGCTGTTAGAGCATGCACACATATGGTTGAGTTAACTAATGCAGCCAAGGTTGTATGCTAGTGATTGAAAGTGGAGATTAGCTAGGCGTGCTCTGAACAGGAAGAGCTCCTTGCCAATCCTTTCATATACTCCCTTCCCTCCTTTCATTTGTCCCTACCCCTCCCCTAAACCCGTCTCCCCTTCCAGGTTTGCTTCTAACTGGACTTTCGGTGCTCTAGTCTTTGCTGGTATTGTTGCTGGCAAGCTGTTTGGTGTGTAACCTGGGAGGCTGAATCTGCTGGTAGCTAATCACGCCAGAAGGTGTCTGGTGCGTAACAATACAATAGATTAAGGAAGCCTTGTCTTTGCAACCTCCTTTTGTCACGGAGGGTCAACAATGGTAACAGAAATAGCGATGGCTGTGGTAGAGTGTTGATAGGAGGGAGGGTTGATGGTATTAGGACTATGGCAAGTGCTTTTTTGGCCACAAACTTTGACTCCCATGGGACAGCAATCTCTTCTCAGGCTCCATTCATCGTTCAGCATGTCAGGTCCTCGCTCATTCCGTATTCATCTCCCCACTTATTTCAGTCAGTATGTACCCGACATTCTGCGTGTCCCTCCATCGTCCATGCACCGATCTCAAGCCTCTCTTGTGCCGTCATCGCACGCTACAGCTTGACGCCATTGATTATGACAAGCCCGAATACCAGATCCAGCACAACCTCAGTCCATTGTAGGTGTTACATCTTTTATTTTCCCACATTCAAGCTTATATCAAAAGGCCAAACGGGGTTATTAGTTTTGTAAGTGTATTTATGTCAGCATCCTTCAATGGAGGAAATCCCAATGGTGATTACAGCCGTGACCAACCAGTGGCAAGGGCCCCTCCTGACACCTGCGATTTGGGGAAGATGGTGGGTGTCGTGTAAAAACTTTTCCGACTCACACAGTGCGAGGGAAAGGGGACACTGTGTAGGTTGCGATCCCTGTTTTGTTTATGTTCTTCGAAAGTGTTGGGAAAAGTAGCCTTCTCGAGAACCTAAACAATTAGAATAGCGAAGTACCTGGACCTAAACATATTTTCAAGGTAAATTCACAACCCGCTATTCCCAAGGGGACACCGTCGTGACGTTGTTCCCAAGGGCCCATCTCCTCCACCTACATCTCCACAGCACGCAGCTAAATCAATTTAGGTCTAGGTCTATGGCAGTCTAGGTTGATGTGATCCCAGAGCTTTTGTTTGTTGCTCGTTAGCTAGCTCTGACGACGTGCGAACGGGTGTTCAGCATAGGTTAGCAATGACGAAGCTCCATTATTCTTAACAATCACAGCTTGTTAGCTCAGACATTGTCCGATACTCGTTTGTGAGAATGAGGATACTCGGAACTCGCTGACTCGATACTGAAGAATTCCCTGACAATGACAGTGTACTGGCGACCCTGGCTCCCCTTTATCTCTTTCGGGTAACAATTACCAGGCGCTACGTTTCCTGCATTTAGTTCATCCTCCACTAGGTCACCGAAGCATGGCTACTCAGCTTTAAAAGGAGCGATGACGGGTCATCCGACAATCACTCTCGGAAACTGACGGAGGGTTTCCCCGAAATAAGTTATCGAAGACTGCGTGAAGCCGGTCCAGCCGACTGGCCGTCCGTCCGTCAATTTATCTTCTAAACGCTAAGCTCAGCTCGCCGGAAGGTGTTAGGATCCCTGGCGGAGTCGTTCGACAGATCACAACTGTCACAACGATCACAACTCTCAGAACGGTCAGGTCACATCGATCACAGTAACGGTCGCAACGATCCCAGCAACGGTCGTAACGATCACAGCAACGGTCGCAACGATCACAGCAACGGTCGCAACGATCACAGCCAACGGTCGCAACGATCGCACTAATCAAAACGGCCACAACGGACAGTACTGTCACTGAGGGAGACCGACCCGAGTGTGTTAAGAATAAGACGGCATATACATCCATCACAGGAGCTCAATCAGGCAGGAGCACTTTTTTGAATTGGAACCGGTTACAAACCGGTAACTTGGATCCGTGGCGGCGCCGTTCGGCAATCACCGAGGGAGAGTCCTGGAGTGTCCTGGGATATGTTTGCCCGTTGATCCTTAACCGTAGATCACCTAACCACCGACACGTTAACCTGCTATATCAGAACCATGGCGGGGTCATTCGACGATCCGGATTTAGCGGTGGAGGACTACATTCCCAAGGACAAAGAAGGTGCGTTCAATCTTGGACTGTTCGCATTGCGGACCGTTTCCGTGCATGCCGGCGCCGTTTTTCCCTTATTTGCCTTGGATGTTGCTGCTGGAAGACGAGGTTTTAGCGAGAATAATCTGTTCTCCGTACTCCGTGACTTAAAAAAAAAAAAAAGTTTCCAACCCCCCTCCCCCTCGCCCCATGCAGACAAGGAGCTGACGCGCGCGCGGTGGTTCAAGCTGCTACTGGGAGACGAGGTTTGAGCTCAAATATCTTATCAACATGGAACTCCGTGACTTCAAATTATGATTCCACCCCACCTCCGCCCTTCCCTCCCCCTCGCACCATGCAGACATGGAGCTGATGCGCGAGCGGTGGTCCAAGCTGCTACTGGGAGACGAGGTTTGAGCTCAAATATCTTATCAACATGGAACTCCGTGACTTCAAATTATGATTCCACCCCACCTCCGCCCGTCCCTCCCCCTCGCACCATGCAGACATGGAGCTGATGCGCGAGCGGTGGTCCAAGCTGCTACTGGGAGACGAGGTTTGAGCTCAAATATCTTATCAACATGGAACTCCGTGACTTCAAATTATGATTCCGCCCTTCCCTCCCCCTCGCACCATGCAGACATGGAGCTGATGCGCGAGCGGTGGTCCAAGCTGCTACTGGGAGACGAGGTTTGAGCTCAAATATCTTATCAACATGGAACTCCGTGACTTCAAATTATGATTCCGCCCTTCCCTCCCCCTCGCACCATGCAGACATGGAGCTGATGCGCGAGCGGTGGTCCAAGCTGCTGCTGGGAGACGATCCCTCAGGGGGGGCCAAGGGATGTGGCCCTGCTCTAGCCATGGCCAATGCCATCACCAGCACCTCAGGTACCTCGGTGAACTGTCAGGGATTCAGATACGCTGTTAGGGTTTCAGGTACGCCATTAGGGTGTCAGGTACGTCGCTAGGGTATTAGGTATGCTGTTGGGGTTTCAGATATGCTGTTTAGGGTTTCAGGTATGCTGTTAGGGTTCCAGGCACGCTCTCTTGTTCCGACCGTTACATTTCCATCATCGTCTGCTGCGGCTGTTACCAGGAGAAGACGAACTATCTTCTAAGTGTTACAACTCCTCATCAACTCTTCCGCCCCTCTCTCTCCCTTCTCTCAAAAGCGGCCCCCCATCCACCCACTCCCCCCAAAAAATCCCTCTATTTTTTTCTCCGCACACCTTCCCCACCTGCCTTCCCCAGCATCCAACTTTGGGGATGGGCTGCAACTGCGGCCACTGCCAGAGGAGGAAGAGCTCTTTTGCTCCGAGTGTTACAAACCCTTATCAACCTCTCTTCCCCACCCACTCCTTCTCACACCCCTCTTTTCAGCATCCATCTTTGGGGACGGGCTGCGGTTGCGGCCGCTGCCAGAGGAGGAAGAGCGCAAGTGGCGGAGGGAGATGGGCATCATGGTGTCGGTGTGTCGACACATTGTGGAGCTGGCACCCGCCTGGACCACTCGCCCTGATGGCAGCAGATTCGAGGTATGGGAAGGGGGGAAGAGGGTGGCAGGGGCGATGGGGTGAAGGGAAGGGAGGGAGATGGGCATCATGGTGTCGGCACATTGTGGAGCTGGCGCCTGCTTGGACCACTCGCCCTGACAGGAGCAGATTCGAGGTACGTGAGGGGGGGGTGGGGGGAGGAGTGTGTGGCATGGCCAGGGGCTGGGCAGGGTGAGGAGAAGGGCAGGGGCAGGTTGGAAAGCTGAGAGATAGAGGAGAAACGGGCAGTGAGGCGCTGGGAAAGGAGTTGCAGTACTCATTTCCTGTTTATGCTTTCCCTTTGGTGCCGTGTTGTGCTGTGAAATACTGTGCGGTACTGTGCGGTGCTGTGCTGTGCTGGCAGGTGATGCGTCGGAGTGTCCGAGCTGACCTGCGGATTCAGCTGCCAGCACTCAGCCAGCTCGATACCATGCTGCTGGTAATGCGCCCCTGCTGCTGGTATGCCCCGCCTCCTGCTTGTCTCCTCACTCCCTTTCCCCCGCATGCACAAGTTCTGGCTCATCCCCAATGCACCTACTCCTGCTGCTTAGCCAATCGGACGAGTACTACTATATGTGTGCTTGTGCTTTCTTTCGTGCTCATACTACTCCCGCCTACAACACCCCCTCCCCCCCCTTGACCCCCCTTCCCCCCCCCACCCACCCCCTTTTCCCCACCTCCTCCCCGCACCTCTTTTCCCTCACCTTGCTCCTCACTTTCCCCCAATCAGACCATCCTGCAGCACAGCCAATCAGACGAGTACTATTATGAGGACGAGCTGCCAGGTGGCGACCTGACACACTCAACTTCCCAGCTCCCCACTTCCTTGCCCCTCCTCCCCCGGCCCTCCTTCCCTGTTCCTTCCTCGTCCTCTGCCTCTCCCGCAATCCACGTCGCAGACCATTCTGCAGCACAGCCAATCAGACGAGTACTACTACGAGGACGAGCTGCCAGGTGGCGACCTAACACAGGAGGACGGCGAGGAGGACGAGGAGGGGGAGGACGAAGAGGAGGAGGTGGAGGAGACATTGCATGGGGACGACGACGACGATGACGACAGGGAGAGCTTCGGAGCCGGCAGCACGGGCGGCAGCAGCAGCGGCATGGGCGGCGGCATGGGCGGGGGGATGGGCAGCATGGGCGGCATGGGCGGCATGGGCAGCATGGGCGGCATGGACGGCATGGGCGGGTCGGCAGGGGATTTGTACGGCGCACCGGATCGACTAATCAGGCGCAGCGCCACGGCCCCCTCAGAGCGGCCTGCCACTCATGCCGGGCCGTATGGGACTGGGGGGATGAGTGGGCGGATAGGAGGAGTGGGTGGGGATGGTGGGGAACGGGGAGGTGGGGGACGGCGGGGAGTGAGTCATGGGTCTGCACATGGTTCGGCGCATGGTTCGGTGCATGGTTCGGGGCAAGGTTCGGGGCAAGGTTCGTCGGTTCACGGATCGTCCACACGAGGGTCTTCAGCAGACGAGGAGGAGGATTTTGCTGATGATGAGGGGCAGTACAGCCAGGGAGGGGAGTTTGAACACAGAGGTGCGTTGCACACAGGAAACACAGGAGACACAGGAGGGTCAGGAGGCTCAGGAGACGGAGGGGACAGGGGGGACAGGGGAGAGAGGGGTTCAGGGCACTACAGACGGCTCTCCTCCCCTGGGTTTGAGGCAGAGAGGCGGGGTAGTGAAGAGGACTTGATACAGCAGCGGGGCGGAGGAGGGGGAGGAGGGGAGGCCGAGGATGCGTGTAGCAGTGGGAGCAACACAGGGAGCAACGCAGGGAGTAACACGGGCAGCAGGGAGGGGTCGAGTCCGAACCCCGGGTCATCATCCTGGGGGTTTCATCAGCGGTCCAGCAGCACAGCTGCTCCTGCTGCTCCTGCCTCTTCCTCAGGTGTTCCTTCAGGTGCTTCTCCAGGGTCGGGGGGCAAGCGGCGGGTGTCGTCCCGCTCCTCCAGCTTCAGCTATGACTTTTCGGCGCTTCTAGGGGGGGGGAGGAGCCGCAGTGGTGGCGGATCCGTCACTGCTGCTGGCGCAGCAGGGGCAGCGTCAGGGGCAGGGGGGGGTATTCCTCCTGGTGGCAGCGGTATCATGCGGGGATTAAAACGAAGCGTGACTGACGTGAGGGACAAGCGCTTCAACCCAGAAAGCATGGCCGGGGGAGGCATGGCAGGCATGGGCGGAATGGGGGGAGTGGGGGGAATGGGAGGGGGAGGAGGGGAGGGGGCGGGGGGCGGGCGGCAGGTGTGGCGGTGGAAGATGAAACCGCGGGTGCGGGGCCCGCTGGGGGAGGCGCTGGTGCGGTGGCTGGAGCAGCAGATGGAGAAGACGAGTCAGATCATGAAGCTCGCCATGACCATCAACCAGCAGGTCCTTCAGGACATGCAAGTCCCCGACGCCTTTGTTCAACGCCTCCCAAAGGTAGGTAGTCTGTACCTGCCCAAGTTAATGCCTGCATTACCTGGGGATTGCTGCAGCTCGCCATGACCATCAACCAGCAGGTCCTTCAGGACATGCAGGTTCCTGACGCCTTTGTGCAACGCCTCCCCAAGGTAAGGCCTGCCCAAGGTAACGCCTCCCCAAGATAGGGCCTACATGGCGGAACACAATGGTGGTGAGTGGGCGACCAGGTGTATGCAGCTGTGCACATCAACCCCTTCACACATGACAAGCTGCTCTTCTCCCTGATCCACACCACACCCCTCCTTCCACAACTTCACGCCTCTCCACCATCTCAACGCGCCCTCCTCTCCACCCCTCCACCCATTCCCTCACCATTTTCGGCAGAACGTGAGGGCGGTGGTGGGAGACAGGGTGTATGCAACCCCTTCACAAATGGCAAGCCTTTCTTTGATCCACCCCCTTCTTTCTCCACCCTCTTCAGAACGTGAGGGCAGTGGTGGGAGACAGAGTATACGCAGCGCTGCATGCCAATCCCTTCACGGACGACAAGCTGCTCTCCACGGTGGGCCTCTCCAACCACAAGGCGGCTCTCAAGCCTTTCCCTTGCTCTCCACCGTTTGCCTTCCCACCCTCCACCCCTCCACGCATCTCCCTGTCCCACTCCCAACAGAACGTGAGGGCGGTGGTGGGGGACAGGGTGTATGCAGCATTACATGCCAACCCCTTCACAGATGACAAGCTGCTCTCCACGGCGGACCTGTCCAATCAGAAGGCGGCTCTCAAGCTCGCCTGCAAGCTCGAAGCAGCCGAGCAGATCTGGATGCGCCAGCTCGCCCTAGCAAGGTACTACCGGTGCTGTGCGGTATGCTGTGGTGCGGTGCAATGCGGTTCGTTGAGGTGAGGGTTATTTGTGGGCCTGATGTGGACCTGTCCAACCAGAAGGCGGCTCTCAAGCTCGCCTGCAAGCTAGAGGCGGCCGAGCAGATCTGGATGCGCCAGCTCGCCCTAGCAAGGTACGGTGCTGTGCATTATGGTGCGGTTCGTTGCGGTACAATGCGTTTTTGTGCGGGCCGTAGAGGTGAAGTTGTGAGCTCGAGGGAGTAGCTCTCTCTAGCCGTTGTTGCGGTGACACTGTTGATCTCACATGCATGAACCGCATTGCACTTCACCTCACCTCTTCACACCCACCCTTTGTTCACATCCACTCCCTTCCTCATTGACTGGCGTTGACTTGGCATGACCAGGGAGCCCCAGCTGAGCACGCTGGGCGGCAGTTATTTGTCCACTAGCAGCCGGGACATGGTGCGATTGGAAGAGAGTCTGCAGCGCGTCTCCTCGTGCCTCGCTGCCATCCGCCGCAGATGGCCCGACCTGCCGCAGACCACTCTTGATTTGGCAAAAATCGCATTCAATGGGGTAAGCAACAGCTTTAGAAAGGGTTGCAATAAAGCACTACCAGTGGGGTAAAAAGGAGAGCCTTCAGCGCGTGTCCTCGTGCCTCGCTGCCATCCGGCGCAGATGGCCCGACCTGCCGCAGACCACTCTTGATTTGGCTCTACGTGATAACTATCAGAGGGGAGGATGTGTCCTCGTGCCTCGCTGCCATCCGGCGCAGATGGCCCGACCTGCCGCAGACCACACTGGACCTAGCCAAGATCGCATCCAATGGGGTACGTTACTTTCTTGCTGCTCTACAGGTCACTGCCTTGCCTTCAGCGCGTCTCCTCATGCCTCGCTGCCATCCGGCGCAGATGGCCCGACCTGCCCCAGACCACTCTTGATTTGGCAAAGGTCGCCTTTAATGGGGTAAGCAGTGCTACGTGATAACTATCAGAGGGGAGGAAAGAAAAGGAGAGCCTGCATCGCGTCTTCTCGTGCCTCGCTGCCATCCGCCGCAGATGGCCCGACCTGCCGCAGACCACACTGGACCTAGCCAAGATTGCATTCAATGGGGTATGTGCTCTCAGCTCTTCAGATCAGATTGCTTCAGAATACGATGAGAGGGAAGGAGATGAGAGGAGTCGTAAGTGCTGCTGCCTGCCAGAAAGGGGCCGCTTCGATGAAAAAGACAGCCCCACACTCGGTCCACACTCGGCCCACACTCCCCTCTGTCATGGTTGCTGGATAAAGAAGGCATTCCCACCCCAACCCGCCCGCGTCCCCATGCATTCACTCATCCCCAACCCATGTACTCAACCTCTCTCTCGCATGCTCCCAGGATATCGGCAAGGCAGTCCTGGAAAGCTACTCACGGGTGCTGGAAGGCGCTGCCTCCAACATCCGGTCGCGCATCAGAGACGTACTCCACACCAACTACCTCCTCCTCAACCCGTACCCCATGCATCCCGCTCCCCCATCACCGGCCCCATACTCCCTGCAGGACATAGGGAAGGCAGTACTAGAGAGATACTCACGGGTGCTGAAGGGAGCAGCCTCCAACATCCGGTCGCGCATCAGGGACGTCCTCCACGCCAACTACCTCTTCCTCAACCCACAGCAGTTCGTCAACCTGCCCTGCGACCCGCACCCGCAAGGCCAGACTTTTGAGGCGCCTCTAAACCCTCACCCACAGGGCGTGCGCCACCCAACCTTCATCCCCTCCCCTCCCTTATTTCACCCCTCCTCGTCCCTCTACCCACACTTCCCCTCCCCCATGCTCCCAGGATATTGGAAAGGCGGTCCTGGAAAGCTACTCACGGGTGCTTGAAGGAGCTGCCTCCAACATCCGGTCGCGCATCCGGGACGTGCTGCACGCCAACTACCTCTTCCTCAACCCGCAGCAGTTGGTCGACGTGCCCTGCGACCCGCACCCGCAGGGCCTGCGCCACCCCACCTTCAGCGTGCTCATGCCCGAAACCGTCTTCGACGCCGTCTCCATGTCCAGCGACAACAGCGAATCCACCAATGGCAGCGTCCGCTCCTTCGACTCCAGCCGCAGCGGCGGGAGCGCGCGGTCCGGGAAAGGCTCGCGGGGCGGCGGCGGGGGAGGGAGCGGGGCGGGAGGGGTGGGAGTGGGAGGGGATGGGGGAGCCGGGCTGGGTGCGGCGGTGGGAGTGGGCATGGCGCCGGCAGGACCGGGATATCCCGGTTCTGGGGTGTTGGGGAAGGCGTCGGCGAAGTGGGATATGCGTCCCCCGCGCAGCCCTGAGCTGCGCAGCCCGCTGATTTCAGGCGCCATGGGCCGGCTGAGTGTCGGTGGTGGTGCCGTGTCCGGTGGTGGGGGTGGCGGTGGTGGGAGTGGTGGAAGTGGGAGATACATGCGGAGTCCGCTACACAGCCGGAACACTTCAGGTGCCGGCTCAGGTGCCGGCTCAGGTGCTGGTGTTGGTGGTGCCGGTGTCGGTGGTAATGGTGGGGGAATGGGTGGGGGAGTGAGTGGGGGTGGAGGTGGGATGGTGTATCCCCCTTCTGGGTCAGGGGGAGGTGGATCTGGGGGAAGCTCACCCTCCGCCAGTCCCAGCCGAGCCATGCTGGGGGACAGGTTTCTCAGACGCACTGGGTCCCTGCAGCCTAGGGGAAAGCGGGGAAACCGGGCACTGGGGAGGAGTCAGAGCGGGGGGATGGCGGATGAGGTGATGTGTGGGATGGGAATGGGCGGCGGTGGTGGTGATGGTGGTGGTGGTGGTGGTGGTGGTGGTGGTGGCGGTGGTGGTGGTGTGGGAGGAGGGCGTGGAGTGGGGTCGCCTGGTTACCAGGTTTCGCCTTCGCGTGGGCCGGTGCAGTTTTCGCCGGGTGCGGGGTTGCCGCCGCAGCCTCCAACGAGGACTCGATCGGCGAGTGCTGATTGGAGTTGAGCTGCTCTTCACCGTATATGAGAGTTTGTGCTGGGGAGACCTACTCTTATCCTGAGAATAACAAATCCTGAGAAGAAGTTTGCGGAGGGGGGGAGGGAGGGGAGGAGAGGTGGGGGTGGAATGCGATGCCTCATTTGTATCAAAATGACATGCATTCTTTATTTCTTATTGCCTTACTTTGGCTGCTAGAAGAATTTTTGTTCCCTCCATGGGTCCAGTCTTGTGTTGATTTTTCTGAGACGTAACATTTGAACGACATTGTTACGTAATAACTGGCTCTCGCAAATACAGGAATCTCATTTCGTGAAGATCGAGGACCCACGGAACGTGGAAGGACATCAAGCCACGTGGAACCAATACAGTGCAGCAAACCTATCCACCTAGATACAGTAGCTCCCTTGCTCCTAGGGATTCTCGCGGTGTGGGTTTCTCCCGCCATTCCCATTTTTGCTCTCTTGTGTGGTTTGGCGTACGGGCTGGTCAAGCCAGTTTCTTGACTGTCAATATGTCCCTAATCATGTCGGCCAGCACTGGAGCGGCAGGTGCTACCCTAGCAGGCGCTCCGCTTCAGCCGTGTGCCGCGGAGCGCGCGGACACATCCGCGGTTCGCTGCTTGGGAGGCTCCTGGAGCGTCGTAGCTCCCACACGAACCGCGCGAGTAGGCTCGAGTCGCAGAGCGTTGCTAGTCAGAGCTAGCCAAGAACCGAATAGATTGCCAGCTTCCTCGAGCTCAGAGTGTTCTACGAGTCAATCGCAGGATAATAACGGAGCCTCCTCTAAGGGAGCATTTTCTCGCAGAACTTCCCTTCTTCTCGCCGCATCTGCCGGCGCGCTGCTCGCGGATTGGTCCGTTCTCCCCGCGGCACAAGCGCTGCCGTTCTTGCTGCCGCTTTCTGGTTTCCGCCTTTACGTGGATCGGCTCGACGGCTACTCGTTCTTCTACCCCGACTCGTGGATAGAGGTGAGCCCCGGAGAAGGAACAAAATCAGGGTCGCTTTTGAGTATTCTGAAAAAGGCGACTGTTGAGTCGTGGTCGCATTAACGGCTACGCGTTATTCGCGACACTCATTAATTCAGCGTTTAATGATTCCCTCAAAACAATCACTAGTACACGTCATCGACCTGCTGAGCTGGTAGACTGGCTAGTTTGCGCTGTTAGCGTGGAGAGGTGAGTGACTCACTAGGTCGCGCGTTTTGACGCCTCACAAACGGCTCGTACAGCGACCTAGTGAGGGTCTCAAGCGGCCTAGTGAAGCATTCAGAGGCGTCCCAAGTGTTTCCCAACGATGATAACAGCTGTACGGTACTCACTCGCGTGATGAAAGGCCGGTTTCGAAAATGCACTCACGCTCTTAAAGCCTGGGTTTCGGCTCTTTTCTGCTCGCTTCAGTTCGCATATGATCAGCCTGATCGGCTTTCGGATCGGAGTGTTTTCGTCATTGGCTCGCTCGTCCTTTTTGAGCTTCGGAGCTGCTGTCCTCGCTCCTGAGTCATCCAAGATCAGCTCTTGTGTGATTCTGAGCTTCCAAATTGCGCATTTCCTGCCCCCTCCTCACCCACCCTCCGCTGCTGTTTCTCCGCCATTCTCGCCGCCATTCCCGCCGTCGTTCCCGCCGTCAGGTGCGGGGGTCCGGACAGGATTGTTTCTTCCGCAGCTCGTTCAACCTTGACGAGAACGTGAGCGTCGAGGTGTCGTCGCCCTCGTCCTCGCGATTCGCGGTATGTGCGCCGTTTGCTGTGTGCTGTGCTGTGTGCTGTGCTGCAAAACACAGCTAACTCGCGTTTGTTCAATTGAGGATACACCACACAGCTAAACTGTGTGGTGTGCTTTTAGAATTCCAAACTCCTACAGAGAAGAATGATACAGACTGTGTTTTGCCACGAGCTCGCCATTGTCCTGTAACGCGTATGACCTGGGACAGCCTCAGCCAACCGGACCTGGGAGGCCCCCAGACAGCATGGGGGCGATAGCGAAGCAGCATCTGACGGAGCTCGTGTCCAAACAACTTTCTGTACTTCTCCATACTCCTCTGTACTCCCCACCACTCCCCAGTCATTCCCTGGTAAATGCCTGTACAGACTTAGGAAACCCCCAGGCAGCAGGGTTTCGAGTAGAGAAGCAGCTTGTAATGGAGTTCATGCCACGCACCTTACTTTACCCCTCTGAACTCCCCCATACTTCCCTATGCTGTAACCGCGTATACAGTCTGTGCGCGACCTGGGAGATCCCCAGGCAGCAGGGCAGCGAGTAGAGAAGCAGCTTCTAACGGAGTTCATGTCCACGCGGCTGGGCGTGCGGCGCGAGGCCACCCTCATCTCCTCCGCCAGTCGCATCGTGCCAGCTGGCACCCGGAGGAGAGGCGCCGGGGAGCAGGAGGAGGACGCGGAGTACTATGACGTGGAGGTGAGGGGGATGCGGGGTGGGGGGATGAGGTGGATGTGGGGTGGGGGGATGAAGGGGATGCGGGGGAAGGGGAAGGCGAAGGGGAGTTGGGGGCATGGGGGAAACATAGAGTCGTGGCATGTTGGATACGCGGAGTACTATGACGTGGAGATAAGAGGGGTGCAGGGGCTGAGGGGGTCCGAAGGACGCTTGTGGTTAGGGGAGTTGGGGGACAAGTGGGAGATAGTGGGGGCAAGGGTTGTTGAGGAGGACGCGGAGTACTATGACGTGGAGGCGAGGGGGGATGGGGTGGAAGGGAGTGATAGGGGGAGGTGAGGGGGGAGTGAGGGGGGAATGGAGACAAAGGGTGTTGAGGACGCGGAGTACTAAGACGTGAAGGTGAGCGGGGCGTGGGGGCTGAGGGGGTGCGGAGGACGCTTGTGGAGTTTGGGGCAAAGTGGAGATAGTGGGGGCGAGGGTTGTTGACGAGGACACGGAGTTCTATGACGTGGAGGTGAGGGGGGATGGTATAGGGCGAGGTGGGATGAGGGAGAGGGTGGGGGAGGTGGAGGAGATGGCTGGGGAGGGTTGGAGGAGAGTAGAGGTTGATGAGGGTGATATGGGGAATTGTGACTCGGGGGTGAAATTGGTGTCTGTCAGGGATAAGGGTGGGTGGACAAGAGTGGGGAGGGGTGAAAATGGTACGGGAGGCTTGGGGAGGGGTGTAAGAGAGTCGAGGGGTCTGGAGTGGGGTGGTGGAGTAGAGAGAGGGGGTTTGGGAAGGGGGTGGAGGAGAGTGGGGGGAGCCAGGGAGGGTTGTATGAGAGTGGTGAGTTGGAAAGGGGGTTGAGAGGGGGAGCTGGAGAGGGGTGTATGAGAGTGGTGAGTTGGAAAGGGGGTTGAGAGGGGGAGCTGGAGAGGGGTGTATGAGAGTGGTGATGGGGGGCTGAGTGGGCTGGGAAGCGGTGAAGGGGAGTGGAAGTTGTTTAGGGGGGCGCGGGGTACTATATGTGAGGTGAAGGGGCGTGGGGAATGAAGGGTGAGCAGAGTGCGGTGGGATTGAGGGGTTGAAGGGGGTTGGGGTGAGGAGGGGGGAAGATGGTGGCAAGGGCTGCTTGGGGGGACACCAGAACTCAAACAACTTCTTTTCAAACACCACATTGCGCCCTCTCTTCCCCATCAATTTTTTTTTTACCAAAAGCTTACCACCCTCTCCCCGGCCTCTCTCCACCCACTCGCGCCCTCTCGTCCTCTCTCCCTGCATCCCCCACCTCCCCCCATCGCTCTCTCACTCACAGCTGAACGTGAAGTCGTATGCCAACAACAACCAGATGGCCATAATGCCGGACGAGCGAGTGCAGGTGCTCGAGTGGAACCGCCGCTACCTCATAGTGCTTGCAGTGGCCAACAGACGCCTCTACCAGCTGCGCCTGCAGGTACCCGAGAGGCTCCTGGATTCTGAAAGGCCTGTGCTGCGGCAAGTCATGGACTCTTTCCGTGTGTTCAGCGTTGCCGAGTAGATTTGTGTAGTTTTTTTGGAGTAGATAACTGTCAAGAAGAATATACCTCCAGACTGCTGTACGATATCCTTGTTCGTGCTTCAGCATGTTTTTGCCCCAGGGCTTTTCTTGTGGCAAATGTGCATCTGCGAATTGGCCTTGCATTACGCCGTGACTGCAGGAGACACATTTTGCAATCCGTCTATTGCGGAGGGTGTTTCACCTTATGGAGATCGAATAGTCCGCATTCATCGGCCTGCGCACTGGAGGTCATTTCACATTAGCTAAATATAATGAAAACGAGATTTCGTACAGTACAGTACCCAGTTCCAGCCTAGCGAAGGGCCGAGTTTTTTAAGTACAATATGACATTCATTTCTGCCGGTGGTAACATCCGCCACACCAAGCTTTTTGGCAAATGTTTGAAGAAGCTTTTTTTTCGGGTAGCCTAAACGAAGGTGGAACTATCTGAATCCGCTTCCTTCGACACGCCCAGTGCCGACCGTAACCAATAGGAGCAATCGGGCGATAAAATATCTCCTGCATCAACCTCTTCTGGGCTCGACAGAAATCTGCGCCGCGAGTATTCGCGAGAGTGCCTAATTTGGCTGATGAAGTTCGCGCATTCGCCGGGCTTGGCAAGTCCCCCATGGCGAAAAATCGCACGCCTGCGTAACTTGCGGACTGCGCAACTGCCGCATTTGATTCCCATGTAAAATATGTTTCCCGCCAAAATGTACACTTACGAGAGCCTCTCCCCCCTCCACGATCAATGAGTGGAACACGAAGCATACTCTCACGCCTAAATATTACACGCTGGTCATCCCACTCTCATCATCAGTCATTTACATTCTTCTCAAATTCCTTAGCCAGCCACTTCCCTGTTCTGCTTGCTCGCCGGTTATTCTCCTCCCACGCAATCTATTTCTGCGACTCGACGGGATCAACTCCTTTGCCATTTATGGCTCGGACGAAGCAAGGTGTTGCCACCACGGCGGCGGTGCTGGTGCTTCTGTTTGTGCTGCTCTTGACATCAGCATCGTATGTCGCGGCTGGTAAGCTCCTCTTCTACTCGTAATGGTGCATTCCTTTCATATTCGGTAATGTGTAAGTTAAGTGTACCACTCCATGTCGACAAATGATATCGTGCTGCCGCATTCGGTTACATTGTAACCTACAGAAGTCCACCCGACCTACAAATCCCTTCCGTTGTTCTGTGCGCAGCGGCATCCAAGGGATTTGTCTCCTCGCGGCGCATTCTGGGACTCGTCCGGTACTCGGACGGGGGGACCACGTACCACCTCGAGAAATCCCCCGTGACCACCCCGACTGCCGTGAAATTGGCAAAAACCGTGTCCACCACGACCCCTACCGCCCTGAAACTGTTATCCCCGACCAAGATGACCACTACCTCGCCCACAACATCCCCGACCAAGACAACCACCACCACGACCTTAATGGCCTCTCCGACCCAGACAACCACCACCACGACGCCCGTGAAATTTTCGCAGTCGACCGTGACCGCATTGGCCGACACGACCAAGACAGCCGCCAACACTCCCGTGAAACTGTCGCAGTCGACCGTGTTGGGAATGGCAGACACGACTAAGACACTGTCTACCACTCCCGTGAAAATGTCGCAGTCAACCACGACTGCATTGGCCGACACGACCAAGACAACCACCACCACGCCCGTGAAACTGACGCAGGTTACCGCATTGGCCGACACGACCAAGACAACCACCACCACGCCTGTGAAACTGTCGCAGTCTACCGTTACCTCATTGGCCGACACGACCAAGACAACCACCACCACGCCCGTGAAACTGACGCAGGTTACCGCATTGGCCGACACGACCAAGACAACCACCACCACGCCTGTGAAACTGTCGCAGTCTACCGTTACCTCATTGGCCGACACGACCAAGACAACCACCACCACGCCCGTGAAACTGACGCAGGTTACCGCATTGGCCGACACGACCAAGACAACCACCGCCACGCCTGTGAAACTGTCGCAGTCTACCGTTACCTCATTGGCCGACACGACCAAGACAACCACCACCACGCCCGTGAAACTGTCGGCGTCAATCACAGGCTTATCTTAAATGTGACAAACCCTTGCGCGCGTGGCGACGACCGTAGTGGTGTGACCCACGGCAAGCTGAGTTTTAGAAGCATGTTGTAACATGTGGGGTGAATCGTGGTGGTGTGTGCTAAACTGTCTTGTAATGCATGTTTTTTTAAATAATCTTTTTTACTTTCCACGCTTTGTAATGCATGTTTCTTGCTAGATTCCAAGCCTAGGGTTGAGTGACATTGGCGATTAACATGGTGTCTCTCGTCCCACTCTACATTCCATCTATTGGTAGTGTAGTACTGTTCATGGGAATGTCTGGAGTTTTGTGCCAAGCCAACTGGCACAAGGTTTAACTGAACTGAGTTGCTGCGATGCTAATTCGTCTTAACGGAATCACTAGCAAGTGACGACTACTGCGTAGCCAGCAGCTTGACATCTGAACCAACTGAGGCTTCTGCAGTTGTCCAAACAACAATTCCATGCACTAACAGGGGTGGTTGTATGAGGTGAGTCTCCAAGCACAACACCAAACAACTCTGCAAGCATGGTTTCGTTTCAGTCAGGAATTCAGTCCGCTAGTGGCAAGTGTTTTTGGACCTGTGTGGAAAGGACACAAAAAATTAAGAGAGAAGTTTTGAGGAAAAGCTAAGCTTCAACAGTAAAAAAAAACTGTTGAGGTTGCTGCCAAAGAGTGAAGACATGAGGTGCATTGTGAGGGAGAAAAGGAGGCAGAAAGGGCGAGAGGGGCGAGAGGAGAGAAGAGGAGAAAGGAGGGACGGAGGCGGGGCGAGAGGGTTTGAGAGGGGTTGAGAGGGGTTGAGAGGATTGCCTGTTGAAGGAACTTGGCAAAAGCTGGATGCGACCGCGCTGTTTCCAGTGCCTGGGGGGGACACAGAGCGGGGATGAGAGGGGATGAGAGGGGATGAGGGCGCTGGAAGGGTATGGGGGGATGAGGGGACGGGGGGATAACTGGATGCGACCGCACTGCTTCTAGTGCCCCGGGGGGGGCACAGCGAGGGGAAAAGAGGGGATGAGGGCGCTGGAAGGGTATGGGGGGATGAGTGGGTGGGGGGATGACTGGATGTGACTGCGCTGCTTCTAGTGCCTGGGGGAAGCACAGCAGGGGGGTGAGAGGGGATGAGAGGGGATGAGAGGGGATGAGAGGGGATGAGAGGGGATGAGAGGGGATGAGAGGGGATGAGAGGGGATGAGAGGGGATGAGAGGGGATGAGAGGGGATGAGAGGATGTTAGGAAAAGGGGATGGGAGGATCAGCGGATGGGAGGATGAGGGATGGCGCATTGTGAAATATCGAGGGACATGGGATGAGATAAGGCCATGGCCAAAGGTGCATAGTGCATGGGTGCGATGTTGACAATAACAAGACAGGACGCAAGTTGTAACAAGAAAAGACGCGAATATTGAGATGGAAGGGCGAGGGGGAGGAGGAGTAGGAGAGTAGGACGAGTGGGAGGCAGCACTAACTGTTTCTGGGTGTGGAGAGCTGCTGATAAGGAGCAGTATGCACTGCAACTCGTGGTCCCTCAACTATGTGAACATTAAAGTCGATCCAAAGGGAGGAGGGTGGGAGGCAGCACTAACTGTTTCTGGGTGTGGAGAGCTGTCGATGAGCAGCAGCATGCGCTGCAACTCGTGGTCCCTCAGCTGCTGTCTTAGAGCTGCATCGTCCACTGAGAGAGGCACGAGGGAAAATGGGAAGCTGTCAGATGCAGACAGGTGGGCTGCGGAGGTCCGTGGCTGCGGAGGTCTTACTTCCATCAACTCGTATGGTATTTAAAACAACGAGACAAACCCCATGGGATGGATGGAATTCCTGGTATCGTCCGGTGAGAGAGGCACGAGGGAAAATGAAAGGGGAGAGAGGAGTGGGGAGAGAGGAGTGGGGAGAGAGGGGAGCGAGGTTGGGAGAGAGGGAGAGGGGAGTGGGGGGAGAGCGGAGCGGGGAGTGGGGATTCCGCTGCCACTACTGCTGCTGCTGACTTTTGAGTCGCCTCAAAAGTCTGCCACGCAATGTCATGCCTCCTAAGGTGGGGTTCCACTGGAGTGGGGAGAGAGCGGAGCGGGAGTGGGGATCCCGCTGCCACTACTACTGCTGCTGTTGCCGATGCCACAACGCCCCCTAAAGACAGACACCTTTGATTTGGAACGCAGCCTTTATACACACACAAAGATGGCCCTTGAGACATCCCAAAACACAGAAGTTTAAAGAACAGAGTCCCTTAATATACATACATATACATAGTTCCATTCTCACCTATTTCCCTGAGTGTGCTGCAGGGGAGACGCCACGAGAGCTCGTCCTCATCCTCACACTCCTCAAACAGCCGCACAGGCTGCTTGCCCCTGCTGCTGCTGGGGCTGCTGCTGCTGGAGCTGGGGCTGGCACCACCTTAAGCACACGCCTAGTGTCAGATTCTCACCTATTTCTATGAGTGTGCTGCAGGGGAGGCGCCAGGAGAGCTCGTCCTCATCCTCACACTCCTCAAACGGCCGCACAGGCTGCTTTCCCTTGCCGCTGCTGCTGCTGTCGGTGCCGGCGCTGCCTTGGGCGTCTGCTGTGGTGGCGGCTGTAGCTCCTCCTGCCTCTGCTGCTGACGTGGCAGGCTGCTCTCTTGGTTGGCATGGCGTCTCTGCAGGGCGAACGATGTGAGAGGGGGAGGGGAGTGAGTGCGGTAAAGAGTGGTTCTATGTGGTGCACGGGTGTCGCAGAGGAGTGAGAAGGTATAGGATGGTTGGGGACGGGTGAGGAAACGGTGAGAGAGTGAGTGAACGGGTGTGAAGAGAGAAGGACGGAGGGAGTGGTAAGAGGAAACCCATGGCTTTTGAGAACTAAAAAACCCCATGGTTGTGCAGGGGGGGAAAGAGAACCTGCGTGGGGGGAGGCGATGGGAGAAAGTGAGTGGGTTGTGTGCGTGTGTGGG